TACAGTAGCTGTCTCCCATTGTCCTTTATATACTTCTTTTATATACCATAAAATTGACATCACCACAAAGGATTCAATCAGACGAGAATCAATTCAGACAAGCAAATAAACACACCCTCCTCCCCTAAAAAAAACAATGGACTCAACCCTGTATTAACTGGAGTGATAAACGCTGACGTTTGATTTTCTACTTATGTATTTAGGTGTTTAACTGAAATAATTCTTTGACTTATATAAACTGGTCCAGAACATCATTTATATTAAACATATATCTATAAAGTATATATTTAAATCAAATAAGTTGAGGTAATTAATGATCCCCACCTTTAGGTTTAGACTTTATTACATTTCCCATTTGAAATGCACGTCAATCAGAGGAAGAGCGCTGAGAAAAACGAGCTGGAACAGGGCTGAAGAAGTCGAGTCAAAGTGAATTATTTCCTTAAGAGACCAACTCTCTGGCTTCGCTATGTGACATGAAGCACTTTCACTCAACTTGCTGCATTGGAAAATAAATATTATGGGCAGTGGAAAGTGCTGACAGATTGAGAGAAAGAACAAAACAAACGATAGTGGATGGGGCGCAGCATGAGCGTGGGTTAGCTATATCTGCAAGCAGTGTGTAGAGGCAAGTGTGTGAATGGAAAGCCAAGCTGAGCAAACATCAGCAAGAAGCTCACCTCACTTAGGATAATATAGACATTTTATGTGAGGTTGTTGGTGTCCACGTGCAGCCGGGGTTGCTGTGCCAACACTTTAAACAACGGCTCAAACAAAACACCTACAGAAAATGGTCCGTGATATAAAAACAGATGCCTGCGCCTGTCATAAAAAAAACAAACAAACCATGATGAGCCTTTGTCACCGCCTAATAACATTTATGCAGCTGATTTATTGATGCGTACGTCTTTAAGTAGACTAGTGGTTGTGAAGTTGTAAATAATAATAATATATATAAATTTTACTTGATGGAAAGGTTTTCAGATGCCAGTAATAACACTGACGTCTGTCAACATTATTACTAACATGCGTCACCGAGGAAACAGGTATTAGGGGGAAAAAAACCCCTGCTCCACATGAAACAGTTCAAACACCAATAAATGAGACAACGCAAAGAGAGAGATCCAGATCCACAATCCAGGACCAGCAGCAGCTCCAGCCTTTGTCTTAGGAATCTGATTCCTTCACCTCATTAAGGACTCACCCAGGTTCTGTATTCCCAGCAGGCGCCCTGCTAAGCACGCTAGGGTCACTATCACGGAGCAACAACATAACGTTACTCCTGTTCATGACATATTTACTTATTGTTGCAGTTTAATGTGGAAAGAGAGGCAGTACTATCGTAATATTGTTGCGATGGCACCTGAGTAAAGCTTGCATCAAGCCTGGACATGTTCCAGGAGGTGCAGTTCCATAGTTAATATACACCATCAATCATAAATGTAGTCGTTCATTAAGTCTTTTAAATGTTGAGAGCGTTGGTCGTGACCTGATTTCTGTTTCTAAGCAGCGTCCACGTCAATACACCACAGCGTTAATGTTATTTAAACGTAAAAATGTCCTTTAATACTGAGAGATTTGTGTGACATCTGTTCACTGAAGAAGAACAATGTTTCTTTCTCAACGTCCAAAACATCAAGTTCTGATTTGCGATTGTTCTGGTGATTCATTAAATGTTTTCTCTTATTCCAAATGTGTTCAGAAACAACAGAGCCAAATGTTGGACTTTTCTCTAGATCACTGTTCTGGTATGTGTGACCGTTTGGTGTGACTACAGGCCTCACAGTCCCACATCCAGGGAAAATATTTTCTTTAATTAGCTGCACATTTGAAACGAAGAGGAACAATTGTAATCAAAACATAGGGCTTAGTCATAAGAGCACATCCACGAAGAGGACATGAGATCTACAAAGTGAACATAAATAATATCAGCGTGAACATTTGTAATCGTATGTGACAACTGGTCTGCCGCAGAGTGGAAACATGCAGAGAGCAAAACCGCTGCTAGTAGTGTCTTCTGGAGAAGCGTGAAGAAGTGCTTTTCTGTTCTCAAATCTCTCCCCTCCACACTTTGCCCTCAGGCTCTCAAAAACATGCCTTTGTATATGTTGAAAAAAAAAAAATCTGCTCAGACAGTAGCTAGCACTGAGATCAGTGCGGTGTCATCTTTGGCCTCCCTCCAGCTCGGCTCAGACCGTCCTCTCTGTCTCAGACGGGCAGACGTCACACAGACGGTTGAGGCCTGTCACTCTAATGGACTGTTGTTTTGGCAGGCATGTGGGCTTTTAGGAGATTTGACACTGATACGTGCTGCCATCGGTGTCTCACACAGGAATGTGAGCATCGCGCTGGTGCTGTTGAGTGAACTCACAGATATAAACTGAGTTCATCTTTAATTGTTAATTTGCTGAAGCACACAGCTGAAAGCTTCGGCGGCGTTGAAAAATGTCTCGACACTTCTTTGAAACCCTCGTTTCAAACAGACGTAGATGGATACGCCACATGGCGCCATCATTCATTCCCTCTCGCTTGCCTACCATAGAAATGTTGTGGAACGATTGTCAGTCAAATGTAACATACTGGTCAGCTGGAACTGTTTGCCTTGGCACTACGCAAACATTTCCTTGGCATTGTTAGCACGGTGAATTTTAACAAAGCATGAAACAAAGGGGAAATTATTCAGAAAGAAAGAAAAAGAACGAGCAAACTATGTTTTTTTTTCTTTTGCATTGTCTATGCCTCACTATGTCGGCCTTAAACCATGCATTCTTTTTTTTTTTTTTTCACTCTCCAAGTGTTTTTCGGGGAACAATCTCTGTCAAGACCCAACCTGCCAGGTTTCCATTTGAAAATCCATAGCCGTCAGACGAGTGAAGAAAAAGGCAAATACGCTTTGTTAAAAAAAAAAAAAAAAAAAAAAAGGAAACAATTTGACCCAATCTGAAAGCAAATCCTGATGCCTCTGCTTTGATTTGGCTGTTCGGATTCTTTAAACAGGCTGTGTGAATGCATGGCAGAGACACTATTGGCTAGCATATGTGAGCGATTAAGTTTGTTGGTCTGAAACTGAAGACTCAAAGGGAAACATTTCAGTCAGTTATTGGACTTAATAAAACAATTCTGTTGTTGAAAATCCGCCCCGACCCTCCGCTACAGACGCTGAAGTGAATATGAGCGTTGACAGAATTGAGTGTGAAAAGTGTGTGTAATGAAGGAATGTCATATACGTGATGTGGATCACCAGTCAACGCTGTTGGTATGATGACTGAATTCAGCGGAATTACCACATTCTGCTGAATTTCCAGATCAGTCTTGCAACATTTAGAAAATCTATTGTAGTGAAATTTCTCTTAAATGCTTATTTCTGTTTAACCTTAAGCCAGAATGGGTCTTTGCAGCAGTTACTCTCACAGAAACTGTATGAAACAGTTGACAGTACATCAAGCTTGTTGATCTACATAACCTACAACACATTGTTTTCATTTAAATTCCTGGTAACTAGCAGTTGACTTTAATATAAGACATGTCCTACTTTTGAACCATGCACATAATAACCCTGCTAGACGTGCTAAAATAGGGTCCTCTGAAGTATCCTGTTCCTCAGACTCTGTGTCCCATATCTGAAAGACATTATTATCCCAAGCATGGAGCCCAGGATAATAATGGAGGGTGAACACACTCATTGCACAAATGACAGATTTTGGAGGTTAACTTGATGCTTGAACACCACCACTTAGCAAGGAGTTAATCCATGCAAAAACCATCCGTGGAAATGTCTAAAACCGGTCTGCGGAGACGCGCTGGTCTGTAGATTTCTGTAAATCCGTTTATTCTGTAGTTGTACTTAAAGGGTGTCAAGAAGGCCAGAAATTATACATAATGAACAACTGCACTGCCAGTCCTGTCAGTTGGTGTGACCAAAATGGTCACAGGCCGACAGTCATGTCCCCTATGTGTGTTTATGAAAGTAACGCTCTGTTTTCCCCATCATGACCTCAAAACACTGCTGGTCAATTTTGCCAGCCCCCGCTCTGTGGGTTTTATATACGCTACCCTTAAATAAACTGACGGGTGGCAGTGAAAGTCAACCACATGTTCTCCATACCATGTTTAGACGTTCAGCTACTGCTCATTAATTTCAAATGGACTTTTTGGTATTTTATAACGAGCCTGTTTTGCTGTTTGACTCTACTAAAAACTAGAAACCCCTCTCTTACGGGGGTGTCAGAGTGGTGGCTCCTACAGTCTTATCACAGCAGTAAGATTGATGAGTTTGCAATGTGTTTAGCTCTCATGATGGAGCACTTTGGGAAATCTTTGTTGCTCAACACCGTCATCTTAAAAACCTGTCCTGTATCATGAAAGAGGAAAAGCCATATATCAGTGTTGTGCAGCAACACTGTGAAGTTCTCTGGGCCAAATCTCATAAGACAATGGGGTTGGAAAGGGTTTCTACTTTCTCCTGCTGTCTGGAGATGCAGATAGATGATCAGGTTATGTCTTTAAATCACCCGTGGGTGTAAATTTAACTTTGGATCCTCATTATTTATTGCTTAGGAAGTACTCCCCGCACATGATGTCAGTTGGGCCTGCTCCAGCTCACTCCAACCCTAGCAGGCGGAGAGATTGACGGTGGATGAATGGATACAAAGATTAAGTAAAGATTAATAAGACTGCATGTGTTTAGCTGCTGGGTTGGTAACCCACTGACAACGGGGACGAAACGGGTGTCAGAAAGTTAAAGAAGGGAAATAAGTCCTTCTGTTCCGTGGAGAATTCATTCTACACACGAACATGTCTTTGCTGGAGGTTGATCTCAATCAAAATATAGAATTCCCCTGAACATTAACCACTGAGTAGGTGAATTTATGTGAACATTAACTAAACGTTCAAGCATTCTCTGCAACAGCTGCGCCTCCTTTGCACGTAGTACAAAATGTTGCTTTTGTTTTTCTATCAAGAGACTTAAAAATCTGTGTGTCTTTGGTATTTCCCCACAGGTTGACAGGTAATGAGCCGTTGTCCATTGTGCCACCCAACTCTCTACCAGAGGATAACGTGGGCAGGGCCCACTACAAGCTGTGTGACCGTCTCAAACTGGAAAAAAAGCAAAGGAGGATGTGCAGACGAGACCCAGGCGTGGCAGAAACCCTGAGGGAGGCTATCACCATGAGTGCCCTTGAATGCCAGTACCAATTCCGCTTTGAGAGATGGAACTGCACCCTAGAGGGGCGCCACCGAGCCAACATATTAAAAAGAGGTACCATCAGAAAGTTATGCTGTTATTCTCTCAAATTAAAGCTGCCATTTTTTTTTCTTTCAAATGAACATTTCTCTGTTCTCCAGGGTTCAAAGAGACAGCCTTCCTGTATGCTATTTCCTCGGCGGGCTTAACGCATGCACTGGCTAAAGCTTGCAGCGCAGGACGCATGGAGCGCTGCACGTGCGATGAAGCCCCAGACCTGGAAAACCGCAAAGCATGGCAGTGGGGAGGCTGCGGAGACAACCTTAAATATGCCAACAAGTTTGTCAAGGACTTCCTGGGCAAACGCTCCAATAAGGACCTGCGTGCCCGTGTGGACATGCATAACACAAATGTGGGCATGAAGGTGAGGACGCATCATACAGTTGTGAAGCAGGAATATCTATCTATCCATCTATCTATGACCAAGCTTAGCGCTAACACGCACAAAACCTTGATGTTTGAAACCAAATTGCATACTTTACTTTAATCAGTGGCGAACAGAAGAATTGCATTTGGTATTATAACAATCCTGCATATTGATTACGCCTTCCTTTGCCTTGACCTGCTTTTATGAAGGGAAACTTCAACGCACGTCTAAATGTTTCCAGAAAATATAATCAGTTTGAGCAGAACCAACGTTTGTTTAAACTCACAGCCTGTATTTAAAACAAAAAAGGTTAATCATTCATTTGAACGAGTCACTTGATGGGAAAAACTGTCATTATGCAGCACTGACTGGGTTCACTGCAATTATGAAAGACAAACAGCGTCATGAAGTGTCAGTTCATTCAGAATCTCATCCCGGCTTGCGGGCTGCAACTGTATCTTTGATTTTGCTTATTTAACTCAGAAGATTAAACATTACAGTCTGGTTAGAGACTGCTGTCCAAGACAAAATACACTGTCATTAAATTGGCCGCAGAAAAATTTGATATAACCACAGAAGAATGACTTTAAAACAGACTGTAGTTTTACTCAGGGCATTTCAGGGGAGTGAAAGTGAAAGAAATGCATTCATTGTGAGGAAGGGAATCGCTCTAAATGAAAATAATTGTGAGTGCAAATTTGACAAAAAGTTCCTAAAACAGCCTTGTCATCGAGTATTTTGTTTTCGGAATAAACAGGCCAAATAATCTAGTATGTACTCTGGAACTAAGGAGCAGTCATTTGTGGTGTAAAAAAAATGCGTTTGGTTTATCTTGGATGTACAAATTTAAAAGAGAAGCAATAGTTAATCTGTTAAACCAAAGCAAAACACATTTACCGAAACTGTTGCCTTCACTCTGCTATTTTCACTTCGAAAGACATTTCATTTGTTTTCTAAAGTGAATAATAGCAGAGACACACTTCTCCAGCATTTACCAGACACACACTCTCCCAGCAGACCCATGCAAAATGTTCAACTTGGCTCATTGTAATCTCTCAGTAGATGCTATCTTCGGTGAAAGATTTACTGCGTTTTCATGTGATCCGCACACACGGTGAGGTGAACCACATTAATCCAGGATCTATTCCCATATGGAGGGTGAAAGTTCTAACATCTGCAACCTCTACAACTTTGAAAGCTGACCGACCGATTTTTCTAGACCTGCTGGTGTGATGAATATGCACTTCCTGTTTTCCCCCCATCTCCCCAATCTCTTTCACAGCGCCTCAGAACAGTGTGCTGTTGATGCTATCCAAACTCATTCTGAGACAATGTGTTATTATCATTGCCCTTTTGCACACGCACTGCTTTAGACTTTATGGTTTATTCTTATGTGAATGTTGGCTGACCGCTAAGGGGCCAAGTAGTGTTGAAATAACATGGAGTGGTCTTTTCAGCTGACGCTCTCCATGTTTGATGGGCAATTATGTATAATTGTGCTCTAGATAAAACTTCACTGTTATTTTTGTTTTCTTCTCCCAAAGTTATGCCAGACTCGATCACTGGGTCACACAACATTATTGTGATGATCGACTCTGGCTTTCATAAACACACTTCAAATACTTGGTCATGATCTTTGACAATAATGAAAGGATAAGACTTGTACCCGGCGAATGGTTGACTGACTGGATGGTCGGTTTTGAGCATTCTTTCAAGCAATAACCTCTCCTGACATAATAACAGTTATTGAGTTTAATTAAAATGTCAGTCGTGGTTTATTAAAAACAGGATCAGCTATCCAAAGAACTCAAAGTCATTTGTGTCTTTTTTTTTTTTTTACGAAGCCTTCGACAAAGTCTGATATTGTTCTCGCCAAGTTCAAAAGGAGTGAGCCTCTAGGGCTCCCCATTTATTATGATATAAACAACGCCGTGAGGGTTTTTAATTTTCCAAGGTTTGTACTTTTTTTCCTGACACAGTCAGCTCTGACTTTATCATCTAATCTGAACACACTCGGGTATTTGGTTCTACGAGTTGCTGCTGGCTGAAGTCACAGGGAGCCATTGTTTTCAACGATGCATGTGTAGAAGAAGAAAAGAAGAAGATCTAGAACAGGGATTTAGAACAATAGATGGGGATCTACCAGTAGATCATGAGCAATTAAATAAAGGCAAATGAAATATTGTTATATTATTGTTCATTCTTACACCATATTGTGCCATACAGCGACAATCAATTTAATTTTTTTAATGCAGGTAGATCACTTTAGCCTGGCCTTTTGAGTATTAGCTCCCAAGCCAAAAAAAAGTGTGGACACCCCTGATCTAGAATGATGAATAACAGAAAGCTAAAAACTTGAAAACATCTGGCTGCTCTGTGCCCATGGTTGAACTTATGGCAATTTTATTCAATGTTTCCTAGTTCCTAACAATATTCCTCTCTGACTCTGAACCAGGTAATCAAAGCTGGAGTGGAGACCACTTGCAAATGTCACGGTGTCTCGGGCTCCTGCACCGTCCAGACCTGCTGGAGACAGCTGCTGCCCTTCCATGAGATTGGCAAGCGGCTGAAGCAGCGCTACGAGACCTCTGAAAAAGTGGGCAGCTCTACTAACGAGGCAACGGGAGAGGGAGAGATCTCCACGGGCCGCAACCAGCAGCAGCAGCCACAGCCCCTGCCGGGCCCTAGTGATCAGATCCCTCGCACAATGGACCTGATCCACATTGAGGACTCGCCCAGTTTCTGTAGACCCAGCAAATACTCTGCGGGCACAGCCGCCCGCAAGTGCTACAAGGATAAAAACTGTGAAGCTATCTGCTGCGGGCGAGGCCACAACACCCAGAGTAGGGAGGTGACCAGGCCCTGCCAGTGCCAGGTGCGCTGGTGCTGCTACGTAGAATGCAAGCAGTGCACACAGAGAGAGGAAGTCTATACCTGCAAAGGGTAACCCTGTTTCCTGTCAGCCCCGTTGGAGCAACTAAGAAAAAAAGTTCACGTTGAGGAGCAGTGTATGTTTTGCTACCTAAAAACAAGTTGAACACACACTCTCAGAACAGTGCCTGAACAAAGAGAGGAGCAGAAAGATGGAGACGCAAAAAGCACTTTGAGCGATTTCTTTGGTCTGGATTTCAGGGGTCCTTTGACCCCTGTGTCTGGGGTTTGTATATGTACAAACCGTCTCAACAACCTTCTCATCATCAGTTCATGTTTTGTCACAGCGTGGTCTAAACAACGTAACAATTGACATCTTTATATTGACTAACAAAGAAAACACAGATTGTTGAGAATCCATTTAAAAAAAAATCAAAAAAAAAAAAAATAAAAATCAGCAGACTGGTTCCTGGGGCCGTTACCGAGGAGGATTTTGTGTGTGTGTATGTACGTGCATATGTGTGTGATGTGCATGTGTTTATAAGGGGACTTGATACATAACAAAAGGGTTGGGAGGGCTGGAGTTGTAGGACGTGCTGAGGGTCAATGACGACATTTATGGCGATGAAAACCATATTCAGAGACTGCGAAAAATAAGACAGGGTGTATGATTTACTCTACACGCACACTTTACACACCAACACACGCTGTGTGTTTGCATATGTATGTACATAAATTCAGTTTTATAGTAATTATGTTATACAAGCCACTTATCTAACTATGTTAAAACAAACCACTAACCACACAAATGTAAGTAGTTTGTGTGCTTTCTCTACTTTGTTTGTTCTTGTCGACAAGGCCCATTGGAAAGCAGCATACTTTGTCTGTTGTCTCGCAGTGGATAACTTATAGATCCTTTGGGACTACTCCTTCACAGGGAGGAAAATTAATTATTATTTTTTTTAATGTAATATAATATGGAGATGTTAAGTAAACGCATGAACAGAAAACAACTAAAATGGTCACTTTCGGCTATTTACACCATGAGCCTCGAGCACGCCGTTGTTCAGGAAATAACTTAAACCACTATTTGGACGAAAAAAAAGAGAGATATAGTGCGAAATATATGCAAAGATCCAAGTTGGACACGACAGTGGCCTTGTTATTAAAGCCAATACCAGCAGACAGACCATGTGTGACTTAAAGTGAAAGTAATGAAGCTCTGGAGAGCTCAGATCTACTTTTAGATGTTTCCTTTGTTTGTTTTGTTATCATTTGAACTCCTTGAAGTTGTAAAGAAAACTGTGGAGAACTGGAGGAATGTAGCCCCATACCATTTCCCTGTTTCCTCTTCAGCTGCCACACTTTAATTGAGCCATATTCAACATGCAGTATGTACAGTGGGACCTGCGTCTGCCTGTGCAGACAGTACGAGTTGAGCAAGACAGACATCTATCTTGATGAAGTGAAGTGAAACGCCTCACTGCCAATATTTAGTATTTTATACGTCTAATTATTTGTACTTGTCTTTGGGGATGAACATTTGGGTTTAGCAGAAACGTACCAGAAGTCAGTGTTGAGTTACTATGACTGTGTCTACGTGAAGAGCGCCACCACATGTTTTCATAAAGCTTGATTTTTAGAGGCTGGCCAGTACTGTCATTAAGCTTAGGTAGGAGAATATACATATGATGCAGTACTACCTGTGTTAACGCAGCACAGCAGTACAATTCTCAGACTACAGTTTTTGCCTCTTAACCTCAAAATATCATTACAGGTGCACTGCAACATGATCTGCTTCTTAATGCCATTCACTGTGTGGATAAACATCTGGTTTTTAAAATCATTTAGAAGACGGACACAGTAATGTCTCATTAGCAATTCAGGTTGTTTTGCACTTTTATTGGAATTCTGAAGATCTTGAGGTGAAACTAATGACGTAATGACTTGCCCTGTTGGGCTTTAGCTTCAATCTGCTGGACTGAATTCTCAATGACATGACATGACAGTACTCTCAAACCTCTAACGACTGAGCTGCACACTGCATCGACCCGAGTTCCTCTTTAACACAACTGAATACACTAAACTCCACCAATCGGCCAAAGAAACGGATCAGTGTTTTGGTAAATATTTCTTCTTGCTGTGTCAAAAAATGTATACATTATTTTCAATAAATGTCTGATAAATACATCCATTTACAGCTGGCACTTTATAAGAAGTATGCTTTTGCCTGCTGGCTGCATTTTCACCAAAGTTGGGTAAAAAATGAGTTGTATAATTCCCTCATGTACTCTTTAAGTAAGAGAGCAAGTTGTTATATTTGCCAAAACACAAAATGATCACTAACATAACCATAACTTACTAAGATTTTTTCCGTATGAAATGCCATAGACTGTAAATAAAAAGTGGACATAATGCAGGTTGGACACATACAGTTCTGTAACCGAGAAGCAAAAGTAGGAGACAAGTGCTTCACCTGGTGGTGTCTGAAGTAGTTCATCATAAAGTGGATTATTTTTTTTAATAATTGAAGAACTTCAGAAACAACGATGTAAACCACAAAGTTTTCATGACTGATGCTTTAAATTCAAATGATTTAGTTTTAATCCAGATAATCCTGATCTACTGTAAACCACCAGAGCACTTCCAGTCTCCTTCTCAGCGTACAGTTTCTTCTCAGTGGGTTTCTTCTACACAATCTTTGGCCACCACTCACAAATAAAGGCAAAAATCCTCAGCACTTAATTTTAGTCAAATTTTTATATAGGCTATAACAAACGAACATCAATCTTTAGATGCATTATTTTTTGGATGGTTGTGATTTAACTACTGAGATTGGGACCCAGCTTTGTAATATAACGCCAATCCCGCACTGAAGCCTAAAAGCCCTTTAAAAGTATTTGAAATTCTGTATTTATGAATACAGTGCAGTGCAGAATATTATTATATTTTTGTTATTTTTGATTAAAAAATGTAAATAGCATAAGGTTTCTTCTCCTGTGGTATAGAGACGCAATTAAGGCACATGTTCATTTCACAAAAGCATTGCCACTCACACCATGTAGCACCGTGACAGATGATCGGCTTCAGAGAAGACAAACATTCAAACGTTTCTCCCCTACATGGTTTAAAAAATAGTAGGCTTATTTGTCCTGAGAAGATGATTTTATAATTTTTTTTGATACGAGGACCTTTGCCAAATCAAAACATATACATAGAACTTTGCACGCTACATGGAAACCATAATAGCAACAGCTCCCATGCTGAGACTGGGAGCAGAAATGACTGCTTCCCACAGCCTCTGGTGTGTGTGCTGTTTTTGTCAAATGGACACACACACTCACTCAAACTCAACTTTCACTTCACTGTTGGATTAATTCAAAACACATGGA